CGCTCGGGCCTCGCCTCGCCTTGCCCGAGCGCCTAGGCGAGCGCCCGAGCGCCTATTGAAATCACTGGAGGCAGTTACTTCCTTCTAAAAGGATATACTATTTTCCTTGACATTATGGACAAATGATTCAAAAGACAATTTGCCCCACTAAATGCTTCTATGACTTAATAAGAGTTAGTTATTCTCAGGCCAATGTTGCAGGGAAGTAGGGAACAAATGAGACCAAAGGAGTTAACCTCTAAGATTATATCTATGATGAATATTTGCTTTAGGAAGCAAACACTTTCCAGAAGTTTGTATTATTCTTGTATGTCTTCAGCTAAGCTGCATCAAGAACAGAATGGAAAGCCATATGGAATGCTTAAATTGCAAATATGTTGACCCAAATATAGTGAGGTGATTATGTTAGTGCATCCTTGTGTTTTAACCTAAACATACACTTCATTAACCACCATTAAGTTCAATCTCTTTCTTATTTGCAATGATGACCCATATATGGGGAGTTTCACTTGTATTTTGACCCAAAATGGATCTCTTTCTCATTCGCTCACCTAAATCTTCAGCGATATCATGTGGAAGAAACATGTTTTATAAGATATTTGCAATAAAATTGATGGAGAAAACTACATGTTCTTCAAAATATAGTTTCAAAGGCACAAGAGAAGAAAGGATGAGGAGATGAATCAAACTGGTTAGGGGCGTTACGGAAAACCCAGAAATGAAAATGAATCAAAGATTGAGTTGTTCATTTGATGGAGAGCAACCATGCACTCTGTCTTGTCGTCAAAGTCGAGTTCCAACAACCTCGATCAAGGCACGCAACCACCTCGGTGCGGTTCTTGGATGACAAGAACAGGGACCCCAATTAGAGAGTAAACGAGGAAAGTTCTTGCTTTATTTCCATGGAGCAAGTGGCCTAAGAAGGGAAGAAGGGACTCTTGCTAGGGTTTTCGAAGAGAGATATAGGAAGGGGACGAGTTCTTGCTAGGGTTTTTGTAGTGAGAAGGGATTCTTGCAAGGGTTTCGCAATGAGAGAGGATTCTCACAAGGATATTCAGGGTGAGAAAAGATTCTTGCATGGGTTTTTGGGGTGAGTGAGGATTTTTGCAAGAGTTTTTCGGGTAAAAGGAATTCTTGCAAGGAATAGTGTTGTTAAAGGCAACGCTAAAAGGCGGCAAGGTTCAAAAATGCCTAAGGCACTAAGTGCAGTGAAGTGAGGTGCTCACCAATATAGAAATAATAAAAAATATAATTAAAAAGAAAGTTAACCATTAAAATAAAAACTAGACAAAATATGAGTTTCACATTATTTTATATTCAAATTATCACTACTAAATATCAAATTACATTCATTTAACCATATACAAAATATTAAAGTGCTAAATTTTCTGAATCTAATAATAAAATAACAAAACAAAAGAAGCTTAACATCAAAATTAACATTACGCAAAAGTATAGCAAAAATTAACAATTCAAAATTCTCACATTCACAAATACAATAATTAACACTATTCATAAACAATTCATAAGTATTAACTATTCACAAACAAAAAATAATTTTATAGGGGAGGGAGGGTAAGAAAGGAGCAGGTCGATTGAGAGTAGGGGAAGGCAAGGAAGGCTGATGATAGGGAAAGGAGTCGTGTTGCACCACTACCATTGCTAGGATAATACCGGTTGTTGGTCGTTCAAAGAGGGAGGAGGTTTGGGAGAGGGTTGTTGTGCATTAGGCAGGAAAGAGGGAGGAGAGAGGACGGAGAGGGGGCTATGGTCCGGGAGCAAGGAGGAGAGTTATCAAGGAGAAGGAAGATGCTAGCGAGGAAGGGGGAATTGTGACAAATGATGGGGGAAGGGGAAGACGCTAGTGAATGCTAGCGCGGACGATAAGAGAGCTGCGACGAAGGGGGCAAGATGTTAGCGGCTGCGGTAAAGTAGGGAAGGGTGTTGTCGTGGTCCGGGTAGTGTGCTACCGCAAAGGAGGAAGAGAGAGATACCGAGGAAGAACTCATCAGAGGAAGACATCGTCGTCATCGTTTACCAATGGAGAGGAAGACGTTGCAATTGTTGTTCGTCGGTGCAGTGGAAAACACTGCACGCCATATTAGGGCTTGTGCATGTGCGCACAGGGTTTTAGAACTGGATGATAGAGTTCAATCAAACCTGAACCATCGAGAATTAGGCTCAACCAAAGATCCAACCAACGCTAACCTTTAACAGGCGCACATTTTGTCACGAATGATCGTCGCGCACCCACAATAACTTCGTTCAACGAACCGTTCGTCGCTTTTGCATGCTTGTACCGAGACATGGCAGCATGTTTTGCCTTAGTTTTATATGTTTTTGCTTGTAAAAATGCATGTTCGAACAGATTGCAGCATTGCAATGCGACCGCTCGCCGTGCCGAGCCGAACTGCACAAAACAGCTCCGTTTTCGCGTGCCATGGCTTGTTTTCTACAAGCCGCAACTGCACGCGAAACGTCAACCATCTCAACACCTTGGAACCCCCCGGGTGGCACAGGGCTGGATGGGGCTTCGGTATATTGTCGGGCGTTGAAAAACTCTTCACAAGTTCGCACTTTAACTTGACAGGAACTTGCTTTCGCGCCCAACACCCAATGAGCAGTTGTTTGTGGACTTGCAACTTTTCGTTCTACCTTCTAAAGTCCTTGTTTTCCTCCTTCCTCTATTTTCTCCTATGCACACAAGATATTTACTGAATTGCTTGTAAAGCTTCCCTCTTTGCAAGACGTCGGGACTTGTCCGTCGCTCGTTTTCAATCTAATAAACTTTCTGTTTTACAAGTCCTTCGGGACCTGTACGAGGTTGCAACTAGGCTGACCCTTTGCAAACGCGTATGTCGCAAGAGCGCCTCATGACTTAAGTAATTCCAGCTAAGCCCGAGAAGTTGGCGCAAGGGTGCTTCGCGACTTAGGCAACCCAAGCTAAGTTCGCGTCTTGGCCGCAAGGGTGCCTCACGACTTAGGCAATTCCAGCTAAGTCCGTGACAGTTTGGCCCACCCAGCGCTTAGACCCAAGCACTCAACTGGACCATGACCAATTGAAGGAGCCCACCTGACCTAGTTTCGAGGTGCTTGGGCCTCACCTCACCTCGCCTGGGCGCATAAGTGAGCGCTCGGTGACTTCAGTAGCAAGGAAGAGAGGTACCTGAGATAGGAAGGAGACAATCCTCGTCATCATCGAGTTCCAGCCAGAATAGGGGCACACGACCACCGTCGAAGAATCCTACGTAACCAAAATGAGAACGTCGTTCACAAGGAAGGAGAAAAGAAGGAATCAAAGGGGACGGATCGAAGACGAGAATAGATTCTTGCTAGGATTTTAAGGGAGAGAGCGACCTAAGAGAGGAGGGCAACAATAAGCAATCCTAGCAAGGAAGACAAGAGGCGAGGGTGAGTGCACCCCACACGGAAGAGGGCAATTCTTCCTCACATCAATGTTGCAACCTCACTCCGCGGAAAGCAATAGTAGAGACAATTGAGATCTATGGCGTTGTATATTAGAGGAGGAAAAGAAAGGGAGAGAGAAGAAGAATATAGAAGAATACAAAAAGAAAAGAGAAGACACATTATATTGCCAAAATAATAATATACCTAATCAAAAATAATAATAATATATGTGATCTAGTGGACCTTTTCATTCATAATTTTCTCTTGTCATTATACATATATATATATATATATATATATATATATATATATATATATATATATATATATATATATTCCATGATAATTTTCTCTCATCATAATTAACAATATATATATATCAATAATTTTCCTTTATTATAATTAACATGTATATATTCCTTGAAACTCATAGTTAAGTAATTTACTCCATTTTTACTTTTAATTTATAAATAAGATTTATAATATTATTGAAGAATATCAATCTCATTCATACTTTCAACATCATTTTGCCAATGATCAACAGGCATATGAGATTAAACCCACGTAACATTTTGCCAATGATCAACGGATAGATCACGGAGCTCGATGATCCATGTATAACGTTAATACTTGTGACGTAGAAGCTTGTCGTATTCGCAACCATCATTTTATGGAGGATCCTATGGCCGACAAATGTACAATGATAGTTGATCATTGTTTTCCAAGATTGATCATTCTTTTGATACAAGTAGCAAGTCAATGGCATCATCAGAAGGTCTGGTGTACTCTAAACACCCCAGTCATACATGATATAGTCATACTTGCCTCAGGAGACTCCAAAAACATGTGTTATTTATGATGATTAGGCAACGACCATTAACTACGTTAAAGACCAATGGCATTAAGTTTACCAGTACACTACATATAGATTCATAGGATCGAGGACCCCGATCCATGGGCTATGTAGTCCCGTAGTTCATTTTGATTGTTCATTTTAGTGGTCGAAGCAAGTATATACAATATGATTATATTTATTACTTAATATGTTGAAATCTTAAAGTGTCGACACGTAATCTAACATCTTAGCTCAAATCTTTGTAAATGATTCGACATCAACAGAAGAAACAGAGGAGCATGCAGCAAAGTTGCTCCTCAACTTCAAATAAAGATAAATTTTTTATCTTATCCTTATTACGACTTATCTTATTGAAATTGTATAAAATTATAATAAAAAATCCAAAATAAGATTATTTTTATTTTTTACGTATTTTCTAGGCTTTTCTGACGATTTTCCTGTTTGTTGATGCATACCGACATACCAACACATGGTACACCGATACTAACTAGTGCATATAGATCCGAACTAGGACCGGCACTGTGGATTGACACGAGACCATGAACCTTGGATGTACATACCACAAATGTGCCATGCAAAACCTTAACTAACACAAATTGCAGTCATTTTTAGGACATTAAACAATCTAATGCAGCTACTCAGCAAACAAATAATTTTTTTAAAAAAACCATTATTTGATTCATATTTTTGTGCAAGAGATCAGAGAGAAAATTATAAATGAGCAAATATGAAATACCTATCTGCCCGGTTTTAGGCTTCCATATAACCTCTATAGAGGCTTTCTCAGGGTTCTCACCCTTCTTTGTTCCAGCTTTTGGTCCATATACTGCAGCCAATACGATTGTATCACCTAGGATCAAGGAAAGAAGAATATAATCACTTGCAAATAGCAATTTCTGTACACCCAAGCTAAAGTAAAAGACAGAAATTAACTATATGACCAAACATAAATCACAACTTAAAGAACAAAGTATAAGCTCATTCTATGCACATACATATGGAGGTAATCAGATTATAAGAAAAATGACTAGCTTAGCAACAATATAGAACATACAAACAAGCAGAGAGATATTATCATTTGGTAAAAATTAAATACAACAAAAAATTTATATGAATTTTTATTGCACTTGAAAAAAGTAAAAGTGTAATAATTACTGTATTACATTGATCCAAATGACAAGAAGAAAAATGTTCAAAACATCCTGAACAAAAAGATACACCAATTCTGTTTCACGATCTACATATCTTGCATCCCTAAAAGAGAGTTTGATGTGAGACTGAGTAGGTCAAATTGAACTGATACTTGATAAATATCTGATTGAGTAGTCAGATTCCACTTTTTTACTCTGAAATGGAAGATTCCGGAAGAAAAAACCATAAACACCAAATAAACCAACTACACAACCAATTGGAAGCTTTTGAATACTAGATATGAAGTAAAATCTTGATCCAAGAGAACCAAATTTCACTTTCCAATAAATTTGAACATTACAGGAGCAATAATCCCTAAAACCCAATCTCCATAACATGACCAAAAATAAGGGCAAAAGAAGAAGGAATCCAGAATCTTACAGTAAAATCCTATCCAATGAAACACAAATCCTAGTAAAGGTAGAAACAATAGAAGAGACATGACTTGAATTGATGCAATGCAAAAATTACCTTGTTCTACTTGAGCATAAACAAGCATATTTTACTCCAAAAAATCTAAACAAGCGCTATGATGCATCATCATATCCAAGAAGTACAATGATTTCCACCACAACCATAAAATCCACCTATAGCTTGTTATAGAGTATGATTTTTTCTCCAAATCAAATAAGTAAATGCAACTAAACTGTCTTGCAATCCCTTCAAACATCTAATTATTTCCCGAATTAATCATGTATCCAAGATACTCACAGCAAGTGATAATACTGCCGCAGAAATAAATACCAGAGGCATAATAATAAAACAAAGTTACACATAAACTCCACTATCTATCCACCTATGATTAGAAGTTTTATTTTATAAAATACAATCTTATGTCTAAAACCATCTAAACTCTCCTGTTAGCCTTCTAAAATATCTAACTATACAAAAGGATGAGCCTGGTGGATGAGGTTACTACCAATATGGGTCTAGGAGTTTCAATATATGTAGTCTTACCACTATAAGTAAAGGAAGCAACATCCATCATACGAACTGTGATCACCAAGTTCACAATTGAGCAACCACACCGTGATGCTAAGGCTCCTCAAGTTCTTGGTAATCTACAAATATTTGGAACGACTTCTTTTAGAATGTCAAGGCTAAAGTCATACATTCTGGAAAGCTAACGATAACTTCAAGTGCTCCACCAAAGCAAAAATCGACACACTAGGTCTGACCTTATTACCCATGAAATTTATTCTTTCCATTAGTCTATTTAAAACAAACCACAAAAAGATTAAGCACATTGTTCCTCTAAGCAATACCAGCATATCTGATCATAAACAGCAAGACAAACAACAACTAATGCTACCAGCAATGCAGACCACCAGGCATACGTGGTAGAAGTTGTTTCTCAAGCCAAAGAAGGCTATAAAGCAAAAGTTAGCAATATGAACAAACAGGTTACCTCAAATATGAGATTTCACAATAGTACTCTTGATGTTGGTTCAGTAGCTTTCCAAGTTTGATTTTCATTTTAAGTGTATCTTACTACTAGCACTTTTTGGGTTATCCAATCTGCATATATCGGCTTAAACAGTATAATCCATTTTCAAGAATTATTGAAAAAGAAATACTGTAATTTGGATTCTAACAGAAGGGAATGAGGTGAATAGCATATTAGACGAGAGATCCTAAAGGCATGGCTACAACTAGGAATACAACAACAGCCAACCAAACCAAAAGCAAAATACAAGAGATGATAGCCCAACAATCTCTGAAGCTGCATTTCCATAGGATCCAAAAGACAAATTGAAGTTCATTTTAGCATAATCAGGCAAGATATTCTGGGTCGATGTTAAACGTTATATAATGAGTCAAAGTAAAAGTGATATCAATGCCGAAGACATGTGCCAAACATTATGAATCGTTGCCAAATGTGGAGTAGGAAAAGAAGGCATTAAATCAAACATACAGTGGACACCCGAAAGAGTATCAAATCCACACAATTACATCTCCTTTCACCACAAAATTCGAACGGATGTTACCTTGGGACCAGCGAGCAGAGCCGTGAGCTCGGTGGAGGATATTCCGAGAGCAAGCGAGCGGCCTCAACTGATTGACGCTACGTCCGTCCGCCCGATCCACCGTCATTGCTCCCATTCACCACGCTACACCACTCACAGCCGAAGAATCAACCAAAATAGTCTGCTGCTTGCAGCGGGTGTACGTCTTCTGCCGTACGACTATGGAGAGTCAGCGAGAGGTGGCCAGACTTCGACACGGCGGAGGTGGGAGGGGACTAAAACATACAGAGGTCGCCGGACGTCCACAGGCGCTAGGAAGAGGTGCAGGAGAAGGCGGAGGGCGCGTCTGGTGCCGAAGACATGAAGAAAGGTCTTTGCCGAGATGTATGGCGGCTGATCGTGGGGAAGGAAAACCCAGAAAGTGAGGTTTTCGACGGTGCCAGAGGCGGATGGGGGCGGAAAACCGTAGGTTTGGGTCGAAAAGGTTCGAAGCGTTTTCTATCGTGCATCTGTAAAATCGACGAAAACACATCTTAAGATGTGAGATGTCAACGGACAAAATTATCCTCCAGTTTCAGGCCATTCGACGTGCGAAAAATAAATACTGCTGTTTTGTTCCTCGTTATTATTTAAATATAAATCACATATACCTGCAAAAAAGTTAATTATTTTATATTTATCCTTCCAATATAAGTTATGGGCTGTTTTTTTAAAAATACCTATATTTGGATATTTTCAGAACCATATCCCTAATTTTATTTTTTTTTAAATCCTTAATTTCAAAATAACAAAACTACCCTCACCCCTCCACCTCTGTCGCCCGTCGCCACCATCACATGCCGTTCACCGCCTGCCATCCATGGCCTGTCGTCCACGAGAGGAGGAGGTGGGAAGGGAAGAGGGAATGGAGGGGACGGCGGGGAAGGAGGGGAGAGGAGGAGGAGAGGGCGGGCGGCAAGAAAGAAGGAGAGAGAAGGAGGGGGAAGGGAGAGGAGGAGGAGAGGAGAGGTAAGGACGGACGACGGGAGAAGAGGAGGAGAATAGGGCGGGGGAGAGGAGAAAGAGGAGATGGCGGGCGGCAGGCAAGGAGGAGAAAGGAGAAAGGAGGAGAATAATATGAAATCAATATTATTCGTCATAAAAAAAAAAACTCAGATTTTGAGCTTTTCTCGAATATTTTTTTCTGTTTCAAATAACCAAAATACTCTTCAGTCAGAAAAAAAAAAAAAAAAAAAAAAAAAAATTTCGTTTTCCGATACGCTGTTGGATTCGATCAATTTATCAAAAAGACTTTATGACCAGACTTCAATTCGTTTGAATCCCTGTCGATCTTAATTATTAACTTTAGTATACATTTTAAAATTCTATAAAATAATTTATTTGAGATTTTTTGAATTATTTTAGGTGAAAATATATTATTTTGGCATTAATCAAAATAAATGATTTCTTACTTTTTTTTTCCCACTTAAACTTAATTAAATTGAGGTCTATATATTTTAGAAAATCATATGATATTTTTTATTGATTTATTATAAATAAATGATGACAAGAAAGGAGATATTACTCATCTAAAGTGTTTTTGAATGAAATACAGTGGCTTTTTACTGAATCCAAACACTTTAACCTTATTAAAAATTTTTGAATGAATATGCAGTTGCTTTTTAACCTTATTAAAAACAATGTAACCAAACCTTAATTAGCTTAAATTCACACCAATCTTAAATATCAAATTTATTACATGTTTTGAGATTTTGTAAAATGATTTGTATAAGAATTTGTGTGGTTTTGGATGGAAATTAAGAAAATTTGGACATGTCTCAGAATAAACTATGGTAAAATTTCTTATTATAATCAAATACTAGTTATAATATCTTTTTATTATTGAACCACAACAACACTATAATATTGTAACCAAGCCCTAATTAATTTGAATCCCCATAAATCTTAATTATTGATCATTATAATTTTAAAAATTTTGTAAAGAAATATATATGAGATTTTTAATGGGTTTGATGGAAATTAAGAAGATCCATATTTTTTTAAAAAAAACAAGGGATGACAAAAAAATTAACTTTTTCTCACTGTCCTAAAGTTGATTTTATATATTTTGGAGAACTTCATAGTATTTGTAATCATTCATTGTGGAAGAATATGTTTAAATATTTCAAATAGACTAATGTTTTTATTTATTGAACTAAAACAATATATTGTTATTAAAAAAATATTGGTAGGAAAGTGGGTATCTTTGTTGGGGGGAAAGGCCCAAAAATTGTTTTTTATTAATTGCTCTATAAAATTTCATAAGTATTTTGTCTAAATAACTTATAATTTTTGTCATTATCGTAAAGTGCTCATTTTGGGATTTTTAGCAAAGAGCGTCCCATTGTTTTAAATAACCCAAAATATCCAAAAAGTGACTCTTTTTTGTTTTTTTTCTTTTCTATTGGATGACTGGCTGATAATAAAAATTTAAATAAAAATATAGAATTCCAAAAACTGTCCAATGTTTGAAATAACTAAAAATTAACATAAATGATTGCACCAAAAATAAAACAAAATGTGGAAAACATTAGAAAATAAAATTCCATTATTACAAATCTTTAAAACTAATCATAAAAATTCAATCTCAAATGCATATATTGTTTATATAAATAAGTATATTTTGCTCAATATGGAAGCATACACAAAGTTGTATTTTAATACTCTCATAACTTTTTTAAGGAGTGTGACATTGTTAAATAAAACAATATAAATGGCCTGTTTTATTTAATAATCTACACCCAATATAGTATGTCTAAAACATATGTAGCTTAGACAAGATTCTTATAAATGTCAAAAAATTATATTATAACCTCATTTTCTTCAATTTGTTGTCTACACTTTTGTTATATAATAGTAGCAAAAGATAATCTTTTTTTTCAAAAATAATATTTAAGCCTTCTAATATATCAAACGTGTCTTGCAAAAGTGATTTATAATTGGATTAGTTTTGTAGTGTAATGCTCTTTTACAAAATAATGTAAATAAATGCTTATGTTAGCAAAAAAAATAAATATAATGTTAATATGCTTACAATTATTTGATAATATTTAAATTATTAGTATACCTGACAAATTTTAGTGCATATTTTCTTTGTAAAATACAACAAAGGGAGTCAAAACCATATTTTTTAAAAAATATATATATTTAATATAATAATATATAAAATATGTCACCTACAGGTAATTTATAAATGATTTAGGTCAGGAATTTTAAGAATCAGCAATCTGAGAATAGTTACATTATGTGTCCATTTACATTATTTTTATATAAAAAAATATTGAAATTGGCCTATCATCTTTGCTCTACACTAAATGCTCATATAGCAATATGTAAGAATATGATACCTTCCCACAAACATTGATTTGATTAATTTTAGAATAAGAGCCACTGAGATTATATCTAAGCAATTTCATAATCAAATTGTCTCCAATCAAATACTCGGATAGATTTTTAAGAAAAGCGTAAGTCATGCCCTTTTTTGCCCAAGAGGTAATACTACTAATTGCAATCGCAACATTAATCCAGTGAATATACATATACACATTATCACGTAAGTGTTTACACTTAGACAAGAAACGTTTTTTTGAAGAAAATTTAAACTGAAATAAGATTCTTGAATATTAGTTTAACAAAATATATTGTTTATAGATATATCTCCCTAAGTCTCAACTTAAGGGTTGAAGCATTCAAACTAAGCTTAAGGGGGAAACAAAAGATCTTCATGTTGGGCTGATAGCCCATATTCAGCCCATGTGGGCTAAGGCAGCCCACAGCCCACACCCCCTCTTAACCTAACCTTAATTAAGATTAGGGGGGTGTGGTGACTACGTTTTAGAAGCAGAAAAATGTTATAAAAAGGTAGCAACGAGGCAGATCTTGAGTGCCACGG